CACCAACCTGTTTCCGGTACCTAATAAGACAAAGCGGTTACCTGTTTTTTTCTTAACGGTCACCAACTCCATATTATATCTCTTCACCAGCGTATCCAGGTAATATAGTTGCACGCTGTCTCCTTTTACATCTGCAATCACATTGATATCAGGATAAAAAAAAGTGACGGTACCGTCCTCATTGATATGCAGGTTCGGAGGAACAGGCGCCTTTAAGGATAGCTGTAGCGTGGGTGTGGTCTTCTCCGAATAAAACCTGCCGTTCCTGTAATAACATAGTTTACCATTCGACAAGATCATCCATAAGCGTTGTTGTTTATCCTCTTTGATCATATACACCTCATTGTCCGGCAAGCCGTCGGCCATGGTATATGTCTGGAAAGAGATCCCGTTATAACGTGCTACTCCCTTATCGGTGCCAAACCACAAATATCCCTTCGTATCGCGGTACACATTGTATACATTATTGGAAGGCAGCCCATCTTCCATTGTATAATGGATCATTGGAGCGGTCTGTGCGCAAGCATTTGTGATGCACAACTGCACCAGCAATACAGTGATAAAAACGAGGTTGCAGAATCGATTCAACAGGGTTGGGGTTTAAGTGTTTTCGGGTAGCTGTCTTCTGATCATCGCGGTTCATTAAGCCGCTGAGATTATTGGTCTGAACAACATCCGTAAAAATAATACACTTAAAACAAAGCAACCATCAGCCTTATAAAAAAGCTGATGGTTGATTTATTCAAGTGGCGCTTGCCCCACTATCTTATGCAGGTACCAATATTACTTAACCCACCAAAACATGCTCGGCAAACTTCCTGGAGACGGTTGTATTCCCTACTTTTTCAATGGCGATCACAATCGAATCATCAAAGGCAATCTTTTCTACCAGCCGGATGCTGGTACCAATATCAATACCCAGCTTTTGGAGATATTGCAGGAAGGTGGCACTGGTATCTTTTACGGCAAATACCTGGCAGGTTTTACCAGCGTCCACATCGGCCAGTGTTGTTTTGTAAGGCTTTGCCATCTTACCGTTGGCCTGGGGTATCGGGTCGCCATGCGGATCATATTGCGGGAATCCAAGGAATTCATCCAGCCGGTTGGCCAGATCAGGATGTTGTATATGTTCCAGCTGCTCGGCTATATCATGCACTTCG